CAATTCATTACAAAACAAAATAACCCTGAAAGCACATGATAAAGAGTAATTGTGATAACAACATCAGTTGAAATGTTTTTTGAACATTTTCAAAAGGTAACATAATGATCACTTGTTCACTCTTATGTACAGCAAAAACAATGCATGATCAACAATGGACAATCTTATTTTTCAAAAAATTGATTTTATAATATACGTATACCAAGTTGTGAATCTCCGAAGTTGAACTATTGGAAATAATAATTTTTGGACCAAAATAATTGGAATGAATGAAGAATGACTTACTCCATTCCTAAATTGTATTAAAGAAGGATTTGAAAACATATGATGATTCAGATCATAAAATACAACGTTACTGAGCATTCAGATGAATTTTAACTTGAGCAAAATTTCCGAACAAATTTATAGGCAGATCATCGATAGGAGCACGAAAACGCGTGATTTGCAACAATTCAGGATGAGGCATGAAAGGAATGCACCGCATCTTCAATAATGCTTTCCGTGCGATCGAATATTTCTTTCATTCTTCGAGCTTGATTTTCTGGATTCTTCTCATCCTTCAGCACTGCCGAATTGCTCCAGAATGCGGCCGCAAAAACAGTGCATAGTGCCGCATAAGGCAACGCCAAACGATAACTCTTCTGAAGATCATTTAATTTTAAGGTTAAAATCTTGAGAAGTTAGAGCAAAACTTAAATGTTCACATTTAACAATACTTATGTATAATGAATGAAACTTGGAACTAATGGTCCTTCATCGGTCATATATAAATGTGAAGAACGATTTCCTTGGCGAAACATTATCGCACTTAGTATCGCTCAATGAAATTTATCGCTAATTGCACTTTTCAGTAGGGTGAAAGCAAGTGTTTGTTAATCCTCTGAACTTCTCCACTAATCTAAGAAATCAAAGAACAGGTAGGAATGAGAACAACGAATGACGTTTCACATCAATTTTATCATATCGTTCTCATTTCAACGATGCTCTTGAATGTTTTTTGGGTATTTAAGCAATAAAAATGAGCTGGAATAATAGCTGCCTGTACACTTTAATACCTTAAGTGGAATAACAGTTGCCTGTACATTTTAATACCTTAAGCATTCACATGACCTTTCTGCACTGTACGAGTTCTAATTGCACTTTTTCATATCAGACATCTGACTGATATGTTTATTACCACTAATATGATAAAATTAGATTCTTATGATTCGAAGATTAATCAATAAAGTTTGATTCATTTGACAGAAAAGAATCCATCATATCAAATCATTAACTATCGGTGATAATTTCAACGCAACAATCGCAGTTAACATGTTATTAATAATCACCTTCAGAAGGTTTTTATGAGAAGAAAAACGCACGACCAAATGATTTCAGTTATCATTTGACATGAATTAAGGATTAACTTGCAGTTTTTCAGTTTATCTTGTATGAGTATATGTCTTTGGGACGGCTATATTTCAGTCTCATTCGTTCGAACTGAACTCGAATTTTGGCTCAATTTCGTTCATTGGCTTACAGAAGACTAAAATACAAAAAAATACTAAAATACATGCCGTTGCGATACTGTTGTCTTAATGCAGAATTTTCAGATTGCGTTTTGAGTTGTTCGAATTACATTCGGTTTAAGTGTGAGTATTACCTGAACATCCTCAAAAGCGAAAGGCATTTCGAGTCGTAAATTTGACATTCTGTCCGCGAGTTGATAATAATAATAGTGGAGCAATGGTTTTGTAAGACGTTTCCTCGTATCAACTGATACGGATGTCGATAGCACTCGCTGAAAAGAGCATGAAATTGACAAGGTCGTGCGTGATTAGAGCCCAAGGAATACAACAGATCAAAAACAATCTTTAAGATCACAAACAATCAGCTATTGATCAAATGTAAGTAATATGATAAGATTGCAATCGACATTATCAATATCAATGATGGTGTTACTGCTTCATTGACTGGTGATAAACTGATAAGAAACAAACCATGATATCTTCTACGATAATTCCTTTATGTGCTAATTGCCAGTCAATAATTGCCTTGAGCTTATTACCGTCCCACATGATATTTGCTGGCCATAGGTCACCGTGTACCAACGCACAGATATATTCTTTAAACAGTGAGTTTGGCATTCAGTAATTATAATAGCAATGATAATGATTCGGTTTTAATATTCATCCGATTTGTAATCGCTCTCAGAGAATATCGGTGAAACGGATGAATTCATGATAAATACATCTTCATGGTCATTGAGTACACTGATATGAACGCAGAATGATAATGATAGCCAATATGACAAGAATTCATACCGTCATTTACACATTTCTTCATGTATTTTCTATTCCAACCGTGTTTACCACTCAATTCCAGCAATAAATCAACTTTTTCGAAATGTTTCGGTGATAACTTCTTTAAAGCAGTAACCATACCATTCAGCGTATTTTCCATGCTCATCGTTTCATCAATTTCCTTGAAACAACTGATTGTAAATCATCAAAGATCGAGCAGTTTTACACTAAATCTCATTCAAACGAATGTCGATCGAGAGTTTATGGCAAAAGAAGATGATTTCAAAACAAACTGAAAGTATGAAGAGCTTAAAATCAAGCGATTTTCAAGCAACTTTTGCTAGCAGAAACTACATTTTCAGTCTGAAACTGAATTTAATCAAATTAAACAAAAAAGTGTTCACGTACACTTTCAAAGAAACCGACTTGTTCCCAACCAACATGCGTAAACGAATATACATGAAGATCAACAATCGCATCCATTATTGAGTACAACTGCAATGGCCATTTACATTCTGCTTGAATTTGAGAGTATTTGGAAGAACTCGTTCGAAATTCAGTGATGAACACTTAATCAAGACCGAAATTGATTTGATTACTTTATCACTAACCTGTTTATCATTATCGATAATATCAATTAGTGACACTTAATCAAGATTCATTTCAAAATTAATTATTTTATTTTATCACTCACCTGTTTATCATTAAAACCGTCGATAATATCAATTAGTGAATATTTCCGTAGATCCTCCATAACGATCACGGAGAATTCGTGATCATTCGCCGTTTTCGTCATCAAATCGCAGTCACGACACAAATAGATTTTTGGTATTGGTATAGGNTCATATCGTTTAATAGATATGATACAACCACATTTGATACATGGTTGATCTGAGAATCATTTGGATGGGATAAACATTCAATTATATCTTGATGAATTATGATGATGTAATTCAGAAAGATGCCATTACGTTCTTGGAATAGATGATAGAGTTGGGATTCATTTCGGTGGAATATTCGCACAAGAGTAGCCTCCTCTTTTGCATCGTGCTCGTTCTCCAAATGATCCATGTGTAATGCCTCTTCAGCTTTCGACGAAAATGTTGGCAACTGCAGTTGAATAAGACAATGAAATATTTTATTTTCATTTTTGCAACTGTTTATGAATCTGATTCAAAGGTGTTCAGTGTAAATATTGTGATAAGCATGCAATTTAACAGTTGCAAAGCAAGCAATTCATTCATTCTACTCACAGTCAAATGTGTCTAGCTGTGCGAGAAGCGCCCTTAAAATTCGACCGTGCTTTTATGCTTTTCGTTCTATTCATATAGGGAGGGATTCGTTTCGGTCGATGTGCTCAAAGTGTTGATAGCAATTGAAAAGTGCAACGGAATGGTTTCAGATGGAAAGCGAGGTTATGTAGCCTAAAATTGCCTTTTTCTTAGAATTCGCTCCATGCTCAGTTCGTAATGCCTCGCTAGCTGCCGAGGTGTATGTCGCTGACTGAAACTGTTTGAAGTGATCATTAGGCAAACGTTTTCTTTTCGATGCTTATACTCTATTATTTACATTTATTTAGTCACTATTACTATGTGGTACAAAAATAGCTATCGGATTATTTTTTCGCAATGCTACGCACTGTAATTAAAGCATTCAGGTGTTGACTTGTTTGTTTTGCTGTGATAAATGATGATGCTTCTGCAATTCTGCAACTAAAACTCACTTTAACGATGAACGATTCGGGTAAGTTGTCACCTTCCCAATCCGGAATCGCTCGTCGAATATCAGACATATAACCATTTGTACCAGTAAGCGTTACCAACTAGAATTCGACATATGATCAATAATC